TGTAATGGACTTTATGTCTGTTTTACTGCAGAAGAACTAAAAACTTGTGAAAGTCAGGGAAATAGTGCGAGAAAATGGCAGCAGCAGTCACAGGAATGTGATCTGATGATCCTCCAGACCAGCTATGTTTCTGTGTTGTTTCAGACTGGTCGTTCTTATGTAAACTTCTCTAAGGCTGTCTGGAACTGTTTTGCCTAGTCAGTTGTGATGCCCAGTTCTAGAGCCTAGATGATGATGGATTAAATAATTGCATGCTTATTGCCCAAACAAGATTCAGAGAAGCAAGTTTCAGTATCTAAAGGGGAGCTACAGGAAGGAAGGGGGCAGACTCTTTAGCAGGGTCTGTGGTGATAAAACAAGGAGAAATGGCTTCAAGCTCAGAGAGGGTAGATTTAGGTTGGATATAAGGAAAAAATCTTTTACAGTGAGGGTGGTGAGGCGCTGAAACAGGTTACCTAGTGTTGTGATTGACAGCCCTGCCTTGAGACTTTAGAGGTGAGGCTGGATGAGGCCCTGGAGTTGGACTAGAGGGCACTCAGAGGTTCCATCCAACTCTAAGTGTTCTTTGTTTCTATGAGTCTATGATCTCTTAGGTATCTCAAACCAAGCACTGCTCCAGTCAGCAGACAGTGCTGAAATTCTGCTACCTGTGCCTTTGATCACCCCCCATGTAGTGGTAATAATGCTAAAAGAAGGTCATAGCAGACTTTGAAATAAATTACCTTAATGTTTTGTGCTTGTTGTCAAGAATAAACAGTTGGGTGAGATGAATGCTGGAGTAATAAAAATGTGTTGAATGACCACAGCTTGGAGTACAGCATGATGCACCTAACATCTTTTGTAACCATCTGTGAACATGGATCTCATCAACTGGAAACTGCAAAGGCAGAAGAAAGGTCTGGGAGCGTTGCTAGAGCTTGTGATAATTGAAACAGCTCCTCCATGATCTTAAAAGGTCTCAGTGGCCATTGAAGAAGAACTAATGCCATTGGGATTTTGGGATATCTCATCTGGAGAGTTACATATACTTCAGCTTTTTCTGTATAGCAGAAGGATGAGAGCAAACTGGAGAGTGTGTTATGAGACAGATAGCATGCCAAAGGGATGGGTGGCCAATTTTATTAGGGGGAGATGAATGCATGGCTTATTTAGAACTTGCAAAATGAAGGTGGAGGGAATTAGTAGGACAGCAGTTTGTAAATATATCTGAAGGATTAGCAACCAGATGGAAGCTAACTGAGGTGAGGGGCATTTTTTGGCACAACAGTACATAGGTTTGAAATGAATGGGAGTAAACTGAAGTTGTAAGTATCAGAATAGTGTGAGTTTGAGGCAGCATCCCAAAGAGCAGAGTGGAAGAAAAACCCCTTTGGCTGGATATGAGCTTGATCCTTCTAGGTACTGGAATAGGCTGCCTTGGGAGGCTGTGGGTGCCTTATCCGTGGAGGTGTTCCTGAGTCCCTGCCTGTAGCAGGAGGCTGGAACTGGATGGGCTTTAAGGTCTCTTCCAACCCAAACAATTCAGTGTTTGTATAGAAGGCCTTGGGCAGATTCATTTCAGTTAAATGTGTAAATATGTGATGAACCAAGCTAACATAATGGAAGCAGTGTTAACTCTGATGTCTCCTATCTGTGCTAGCTCCTCTTGCACCATCGCTGCGTTTTTGCACACAGTAGAATTACAGCAGATATAGCACACATGCTTTGGGCATTGTGCGTGTAATGCATGTGGGAGGTTGACCTTTTCCTTCTCTCAAGTGAAATGAAGTCATTGGGAATGGTCTGTAAATATGCTGGCCCTATACTTCAGGGCTTGAGCTGCTTTAATCGCAGTGTGCTTCAGGGAGCCAGATGACCAGCGTATCTGTCCTTGAGAATGTGGGAGCAGATGAGATCTTTCACGTGGCTGGTTTTTAACATGCTTTTATGTGTGTACCTGAACAGGATATATGTGCTCTCTGTTGGTATTTCCAAGATGCAAGAAAGCTCCAGGTTATCTACATGCCCTGCCTCGTGCAATGTCTTTGAATGGAAAGCCATCAGTTCTGGCTATACTGAAGGAAGAAATATGTCATCAGAGTGGGAACGTTGCCATTCTCAAGCTTTGGATGGCCTTCACTTCACGTTTGTCGTATGCAATACATGTTCGTAAGGAGCATGTGTCACTGCTGATGTGATGTGCCATGTCATAAAAGCTCTGCTGACATTTTGTGACCTCTTAATGTCTAACAGAAGAGGTTTGCAAGATATAAATGCCATCTGCCATGGGAAACCAACTTCTCAGTTCTCTAATCACATACGCCTCTTCTGAAATGCTACATCACCACAAAAAAAATCAGCATATTAATGGAGGAAGCCTGTCATTTCACTCATTCTCAGATTCTTTACATAATTCATCTATTAATTTTATTTTCTGCTTATGACAAACCCTGAAGGGTGGAAGTTGCAGAAAAACCATGATAGCTTCAGGAGTTCCGTTTCATTAGATCTCTACTTATTGTCTGATTCTTTGGTGCTGTGAATTGGAACCATTTTCCCTATGATTTTTATCTCTTGCATATACTCGCTCATGGGATTCACAGATGGACATGTTTTCACAGCACGAGCTGTCTCAGGAACGTGCAACAGGACCTTGTGGCTGAAGTTAGGGAGTAGGTTGTAAAAAGTAGAGAGTTTTCCTCGTCTTTGTTCACTTAGACTGTTATGGCAACTGAGATGTGCTCGTTATTTTAAACTCATTTAACTTGTGCCAGTTTTTCACACTGATAGCCTCAGATGTGGGATAAGGAGACCAAACTTTGGCTTCAATCGTTGCCGGGCTGATATCTTGTATAGTTGTTCTGCTTTTGAAATTTTGAAAGCAGTGACAATTTTTGTAGGATGAAAAAGTAAGCAGTGTTTTGTGCTTTGATAGGAGAAGAGAACATTTTATCCACCTACCCTTTACATTGCTTACTGCTGGTGTCAGGTGTTAAAGCTTTTACATGTAGGTAGGACAAACTTTATAAGCTTTTGCAGGAAGTTTAAACATGTTACAGGCCCCATATACAGCACAATTCACAATTGGGTTAATTTACAATGAGCAATACATATTTTAGACAGTGCTAAGGTACAGAACTGCATTTCTGCAGACTGGTGAAAGGGTACTGATTCTGCTTCCTGTCCTGAAGTGTTTTTATGTGTTTTCCAAGAGCTGCAGAAGCACGGTCTAGCCCTCACAGCCAAATGGGCCTGTTTTAATCACTTTGCTACAGGTGGGGAGGGAGATATGCTGAAAAATTAGGTGATAAGACCAACAAATCTGTGAATGCAGAAACACAAGGTGCCAGAAGTCCTGGTTTGCACACTTATCTTATCATGCTCCAGTACCATGGGCCAGCCCCCTCCATCCAACTGTGTTTGTACTTACCGTCAATGATATAGCAGGCTCCAATACTGATCCTGACACTTACTTCTGGACATAAACACAGCCAGAGGAGAGCCATGAAGATGATCAGAAGGCTGCAGCAACTCTCCTATGAAGAAAGGCTGAGAGTGTTCAGCTTGTTTAGCTTGGAGGAGAAGGCTCCAGGGAGACCTCATTGTGGCCTTCCAGTACTTGAAGGGAGCTTACAAGCAGGACGGGGCCAATTTTTTATATGAATGTGGTAGTGACAGGACAAGGAGGAATAGCTTTAAACTAAGGGAAAGGAGATTTAAGTTAGACATTAGGAAGGAATTCTTTACTCAGAGGGCGGTGAGGCACTGGCACAGGCTATTTATACAAGCCATGGATGCCCCATCCCTGGAGCTGTTCAGGGCCAGGTTGGATGGGACTCTGGGCAGTCTGGTCTGATGGGTGACAACCCTGATTGTGGTAGCAGGGTTGGAATTGGATGGGCTTTAAGACTCCCTTCCAACCTAAGCCATTCTATGATTTTATGATTTCCCTGATACAACTTATCCTCAGGCTTCCTGTTAGTGAAAAAGAGACTTTTTTCTTTCGTTATTAGGATACTGAGAGATGATCCTATATATTTTTAGGTGCCACGGAAAGGGTAAGAAATCCCAAAGTCTCAGAGTATGCTGGCATATGTAAGTAAGTTTTGGGGAGGCAACAGGATTTGCTATTGTACAGAGTTTCAAGGCTAAGTCATTGTGCTGCACTGCTGCCCTCATAGCGAGCCATATGGCACAGTCCTACTGTGCAAGTACTTCCCTAAGGTTCCTGCTCACAGATGGAGCAACGGAACCAAAAGGCCTGCTGTGCAGGAGTTCAGTCAGGTTTTGTAACTGCATTGCCAGGCAACCATTTCAGTCGCCTTTCTGTTTGACCTGTTTTTCTAACTCCTGGTGAGCTCTGTGAAACAAGCTTATTAGTTGATTTCATACAATTGTTAGTTTACCATTCTTAATTTCAAGAAGTGAATGTGATCAAAATTAACTTTTGCTACTCTGCCGTAATGACTGGTCTGCTTGCCGTGGCCCTACAGCAGGAGGAGGTGCCATCCTTTTGCATGAATTTCACTGTGACGATGGTTGTGCTAACAGTTACTGCAGAGCAGTTTGGGCAGCATCAAGCTGCACACCACTTCATTGTGAAACCGAATCGTTCCAGGGGCCTGGGAGGTAGCAATTCCAACACCTGGAACAGATGATATTTGAGTTCCTAGCAGTATAATATGGAGCTTTTTATCACAGTTTAGTCGTAGATATCATTTAAAATGTCTAGCAAGAAAGAGTGTGTGGGATTAGGGAGTGTCTCAGTAGTGGTGCTGTAACACATCTAGGCATTTCAGAGCAAGAAACTGTACCCCAAGCTGGGTTTCACTGGGTGACATCAGGGTGCTGGCTTTGTTTTCTGCTTAAATAATAACCAGGTACATCCTTTGTGGAAAGGGATTGTCAGAGTGAGAAGAGCTATTTAGCATCAAGCCAAGTAAACACTGAGGCATTGCTGTTGAAAATGCTGCTGGCCTCGTTGCTTTTCTTCTGATATTTAGCAACTTTCTTTGTTTTAGGAACTTTCCGCTGTACTTTCTGTGAGACTGAAGTGGAAGAGGATGAGTCGGTGATGCCAAAAAAGGATGCAAGGACACTCGTGGCAAGATTTAATGAGCAGATCGAGCCCATCTATAAGCTACTTCGTGAGACAGAAGATATCAACTTAGCCTATGAAGTCCTTGAACCAGAGCCCACTGAGATTCCTGCCTTGAAGCAGAGGTGGGAACAGACCCTGTCTTCTTTCACCATACTGCTTTCTCATAGTGTGTTCATCTGCTCCGTGAGGCTTTCCCAAGCCTTGTGCATTAGGCACCCACATGTTCAGTACCAATGGTGCAAGCCACTGACAAATTCCATGAGGAATGTACAGTTTATAAGGAGATGACTCATCCACTTACCCACAACCACTTTTTTTTACTAAACAAGGCAGATTACTATTCTTCTAATCAGTCTTCTGCATGCAGTTTTCTGTGGGGTGGGGTGCATGGATCACCTATGGCTAGGATGTATTCCACATTATAGTCAGAAAATCAGGATGGGGAGCAACTGTTTACAAAGGTGGATAGTGATAGGACAAGGGGGAATGGTTTCAAACTGAGACAGGGGAGTTTAGGTTAGATATTAGGAGGAAGTTTTTCACACAGAGGTGGTGACACACTGAACAGGTTGCCCAAGGAGGCTGTGGATGCCCCATCCCTGGAGGCATTCAAGGCCAGGCTGGATGTGGCTCTGGGCAGCCTGGTCTGCTGGTTGGCGACCCTGCACACTTAGCAGAGGGGTTGAAACTAGATGAGCATTGTGGCCCTTTTCAACCCAGGCCATTCTTTGATTCTATGATCTTTAAAACATTCCTGCCCTTGGGAAATGATACTTTCTTTCAGAACTTTTGTAGTTGTACAAAAATTGATGATGTTTATAATAACATAATAATGCAGAAAGATGTGGGGAGCTGTCAGTTTTGTCAGCTATGGTGAAATGTGATGTGCTTCTCTCTGTTTAAAAAAATCATCAATTAAACGCCCAAGAAAAAAAATCTGTAGCACAGGGGGAAGCATTCCCACAGTGCCTTGGGATGCTTGACTTCAGTTAATGGGAGAACAAGGAAGAGACTCTTTTCTTTACTTTCAAGCTAACCTTGCGAGAGAATGTTCATCATATATTAATGCTAGACAGTTTCTAATTAGTATAATAAAAATTACTTGTCTATTCATAGCCTTTTTCTAGCCAAGGATATAGCTAATTTTGCTCATCGTTCTGATAGAAAAACAGAAGCGATATACGGAGGGGAGAAGATTTTTCCAAGGTCACCCAACGTTTCTTTGTTGATATGGGGAGTCTCTGAAGCCTTTGTTCCCAAGCTGAATCACTAAATTTTGCTTTAAAAACTATGTTCTATAGTTTGTGTATTAAAACTGGGATAACACCACCAAAAAAAGAGTCATTTCTCAGTCTTCTCCATGGCCACCCTGTTTCGGTGCACAGGAGATCAGCACAGCAGAAGCCTGGTACAGTCCCGTGATTAAATAGGAGCACCCACTTACTTGACTCTTAAATACTTAAAATACACTGTAAATGTTTAATTACTCTGAGCAAGGAATGATAAGATAAATAAGCATTTTAAAACCCTTTCTTGAGCACAACTTACTTCAGCACATATGATGATTTAATTATTTATTAACTCTCATTAATTCAAGGCAGATAATTGCATGAAAGTACTGCTGTGAGATTTTTTTTTTAAAGTGCCAAATGTTGGGTTATTTATTACGGCTATTTTATGGAGTCTTGAATTTTTGAAATCATTGACAAAACTGACTTTTGATGATTTTGAAACTGACAGAAAAGGTCACAAAGTGCCCACATCTTCTCTCTGCACAGGCACAGGTGGTGAAGATGGTAGCTCTAACCAACTGCACCAACAGCATGCAGTTGTCATTCACCTGCCATGTAATCTGTACATGGCACCTGTACTCTGTCTGTACTTTCCCCAGGAGTCATTAATTTTTTTAATCTTGGCAGAGTGTGAATTAGCCATGTAGTTTACAAAATATACATGCTTTATCTGAGCCATTCTGCTTGGTTTCCTAAAACAGGTGGATTTTAATCATGGAATCACAGAATGGCCTGGGTTGAAAAGGACCACAATGATCATGTAGTTTCAGCTCCCCTGCTGTGCGCAGGGTCGCCAACTACCAGACCAGGCTGCCCAGAGCCACATCCAGCCTGGAATATCCCCTTCATTTTCTTATGTCAGAATAGCATGATGTTAGGTAACATAAATCTTCACAGAATTTGTTTTTTGTGGTCATGCTATCTAGGACCATTTGTTGTTTCCTTTGAAGCTGAATCCGTTAAGAGTAGTTAAATAAAAGAGTGCTTTGTTTCAAATATGGCACAAAAAGAGTTATCCTTGTTTAGCAAGACCTTTAATTAGTAGCCTGGGCAGGCTTGAGGTGAAAATTTCACAGTGTGGTTTCTGTGGGCCATACTTCAGCTATGTTAAGAATTATTTATGTCGCCTTTGAAGGCAGCTTAACCACTCACGGAGCAACTTCCATCATGGTAAAACAATCTATGGGCAACGGAACAAATGTAGCTAGAGCTGGGCCACTGAGCAGCTGCTGTCTGAGCAGTTCCTGGCTCCAAGGTGGCTGTGCAGTGTCTGGAACCAGCGGAAAAAGTATATCTTGGATCTAACGGAGGAATTCTTCTAAGAGCACACTACCCTCTTCTGCCCTGTGCTGCCCATAAGGCAGCCTGCACATCTGGCCTTTTGCTGGTGCCTGATGTAGGGTGTTTAATGCCATCTCTTGGATGAGTGTGCTGCGATCTCTTCTTGCAGTAGGGAACATTCTGCTGGTCACATAGCCTTGAGGCTGCCCACTCCTTCTAGCAGTATGATTGAAGATGCAGTTGCATAAATGATGCAGTGAGTTGGGATATGCTTACACAGTTCACTGAGGTCTGAGAGTCGACAAAATGTCTACATTATTCCAGGTGAATGTGACACATTGCAATAGATGGTTTAAAGTAATTCATGTTGTAGGTGTTTCTTACAGCTGTTACCTTCATTTTGAAATGTTCCTGACGTTACGGAACAAGTATTTTGCTACTGAATGATACTGCGTGGGCAAAAAGTCCATTTTGAATATACTTCTGGGCACCTCTGTGTGAAAGTATTATTAGGCAGCTCTTGGCACTAGAGTGTATTTAGCTGTCACACTGCAGCGTGGAGAGGGAGAGGCTGGGGGAGAGTTGCATTGTGCATCTTGTGAGGAAAGTGGATTACATAAAATTGTCAGGGAAACGCTGGTTACGGATTTCTATTGTGTGGGAAGCAGAGCGGTGCTTTTCACAGAACACATGCCTGTCTTGGAAAACTGAAAGGTGCCAACACTTGAAATAACACACTGGGAAGAAGGGCTCTCTGTGTGATTCCTTAGGTTATATAAGCAGTGCATGTGCACGAGTCTTTTCCTTCAGCCCAGAAATTCGAGGTTGCTGTGAAGCTTTCCTAGCAGGGCTGCCTGTGGGAGAGAAGCAGTTAGTGTGTGGACACATGCTAACACAAACATTGTGAAGTATTTTGCTATCAGATGGCAGCGAATGCACCTAGTAAGAGGTTGTGAACAGTCCTCAATCCTAACCGAGGCTCAACACTCTGATATTTTATATTTGGGGAAGAAAGATTATCACCTGTCCGTGTTTCCCCCTTGTTTACACCTAAAAATTGTGCAGAATCAGCTTGTCAAGCAGTGGTTAAATCCTCGCTGATTTAAAAAGATGCGTATTGCTCAGGTCTCCAACTGCAGCCTTATTTTAAGCTTCTCTGTTGGAGGAAAGGTTGCTGGGTAGATAGCAGCAAATGAACCATGCTCACTCACAACTTGTGTCAGCTCAGCTGATAGCAGCTGGCAGCAGAGCAGGAACACTGCTAGAATCCGTCATTGATTTCCTCTGGACAGAAGGAGAAACCTAGGCAGGTCTGGTACCCCTGAAAAGCCCTAGCTTTAGCTTAGCAGCCTTTGCCGTTGGCAGTCGGATGGCTGCAATTCTATGGCATCTAATAGGGGTTGTTCATGGCCTCAATGTGCAGTGAATCTATTGTTTTTCAGTGAAGATGAAATGCAATTTGGAAGTAAAGGAATAGTTGTCGTTGGCTTCCCTCACCTGGAGAGCAGAGAGCTTCCATTCTTCTGCATCTGTAGCCAGAGAATATTTTCTGCTCATTTCCATTAGTATGCAGAAAATACTCCGCCCGATGTCCTCTTTCCATCAGATTCAAGCAGAACTGTTTCCTTTCTTCATCAGTCTCCCGAGCTAGAAGGGAGCCTGAAGGAAAGTGTGCTGGCAGCAGCTCCTCTCAGAACACAAAGGAGTGCTAGACTGTGCCTGTCCTGCCCTCGTATTCTGTTATCACCTTTCTCCCTCCAGCTTTTCTGCTGTGAAGACAGTTCTGTCTTATCTCTTCCTCCTCTTCAGCACTGTGCGAAGCCCTTTGCCCAGCCCATGTCCTTGGTCTGAAGCTGTCCTCTCATCTTTCTCTGCATGGATTTCCCTCTCCTTCCAGGGCAGTGGATAGTGCAGATATGCTGCATAATGGGGCAGATGTGATTTGTGGGGGCACTGTCACTCATCATTCAAGCAAGGGTTAGATCAGTATTTTTCACAACGAGTTAACCCCTTCAGGAGCCCTGAGGTTAGTGTCTCACAGACTGAGCATGCTGGGTCTTTGCTGCTATCATCTGAGTTGCTTAGAATTTAGTACTGGATTTTGTGCAATATAAGCTTGCTTTGTAAAAGCGAAAAAGAGACCAGATGCCAAGCACTAGATTATTGTGGGACCAAGTTTTGCTGCTGTGACTTTTATTTCAAGGTATTCTGGAGTTTTACATTTGTTTTTATACTAAGTGCATCAGCATCCTTAATAGTACTTGTTCTCTTCAGTAGCTGTTTCAGAAGTTGCCATGGGCTTTTGTATGGCTCCCTACTAAAGACCACAAGTTGTCCAAATCTGCAAACTGGTGTAGAAATTCCTGGACCACATGTTAGAAATAAAAATTCTTGGTGATAGTCTATTCAAATATTGCAACGCTGGCCAAGATGGGGCTTGTTCTGAGTGCTCTGTTTTTGTCTCTTTGACTTTTGTGCAGCAAAGAACGTACAGCTGGGACTGGTTCAGGGACAGCTGCTGTTACGGGTGGACACCATCGAGAAGCCTGGACTACAAAAGGACCATCCTACGAGGACTTGTATACCCAGAACGTTGTCATCAGCATGGAAGATCAGGAGGATGTTAACAGATCTGCAAGTGAAGGAAAGCCAGCGCGAGAGAGGCCGATTTGGCTACGAGAGAGCACGGTGCAGGGGGCTTATGATCCTGATGAGATCAAGGATGGTAAGAAAATTCACCGAGCAGAAGCGCTGCTCTGCTTATGTGATGCCAGAAATACATTACCCCCTGTGTACAGCTGCTGCTCCCAGCGCTCCAGATTTTGCCAGCTCCCTTCTCCTGTGCAAAGCACCTGTGGTGTAGGTAGATGTAAAGAATCCCAGTTGATTAGATCCACAGAATTGTTTGTGCTGCTGAAATGTTAATTATCTGCTACCTCTTCCTATACCTTTATTAATGGATGTTCTCCTGCCTTGAGAGTTTATTGCTTTTGGATGAAGGTCTTTCAGTTTCATCTAGAAAGCTGGCCCCCAGTGGGACACTGCTGGAAAATAGCAATTATTAACATTTGGTGACTTTGAAGCCTATCAAATCTACCAGCAGTGTTTTTGTGCTCCCAGCATACAAAATATTTTATATGAAGAGTATGTCAGAAATAAATTTTCTGGAAGCACATTAGGAAAGCCTGTACAGGTGAGTCCTTGCTTTCTCTTGGTTTCTCATTGGCTTTGCTTTTATTTTCATTCGTATTGAGGACATGTTGTTAGCTGACCATAGCTAAGATCTTGTAGGCATTAGTAGAAACTTTCTGCATTTGGAAGTTTGCTATTTAAGCTTATACACTAATAATAGGAGAGACCTTTTATCATTTGTATGAGTGTAAATCAATAGATACAGTCTTCTGAATCACTTGGGAATTATAGAATAATCCCTGTTAGTGCCTTAGGAACAGAAAATGGCAAAAGGGTAAGTGTGTAAGTGTGAGATCCTGAAATAGTTCCTTTCCTAGCACCTAAAGTGGAATGGAGTTCTACAGGTAGAAGCAGATGTGAAAAAATGGTCAGAAGATACCTGTTGATGTTGTTTGCATGCAATGCCTTCAATACAAATGGATCCTATGACATTATCCCAACAGATTAAACAAGGTGGTGATTAAATGAACCTCCTCTTGCAGTCTGTAGCAGATGATGTTACTCGGGAGCCATAAAGTTCTCATCACATTTTTCTGCTAGACATTCAGTTCATCTCTGCTTTTAAATGGGTTTCTTGAGATGACTTTTGGTGTACACAGCATAAATGTTTCTCAGATGACACTGAAGAACTTGGAGGGAGAGTATATCTCCTACAGTGCAATTGCATCACTGCTTCACCTCACTGCTGGAGATCCAAGAGGGAGCTTTTGGAAATAGCCTGAAATTGCTGTTGGAACACATTCCTATGACTCTTGCATGACATAAATGGGAAGGAGCAAAATTTGGAGCCACTGAACGAAAACATTGGCTGCTTGGGTCTGGCAGGAACAGTTCTCACAGAAGTCTTTTGTGCTGTAGAATAACAGGCAGGCAGCTAAACACAAGGCTGCCAACCTAATGCCTTTGCTCTTCCTTTCTCTCAAGAATTTTGTCTGTGTATTAATAATAGTTGTGGTCATCACCTGTTAATAACGCTTCATTTACAATAAAACTCAGTTCCCGTGAAGTTAGAGATAGGTCTTTTGGCCTTTACCATAGGAAAGGAGCAGTCACTTACTCCCCTTGCTTTTAGTGCAAAATGCAGGACTTACTTCCTCAGTTTACCTGTTTCTTGGCATATTTGTGTCTCAAGTTGCAAAAAGCAACAAGTGCATTTTTGAACTCTGCAGGACTTGGGTGTCAGCTGCGTGGATGTGGTGCTCACATCCCAGGCTTTGGAAAAGAAGGCAAGCGGTGTTAATGTATGAAAGCAGGAAGCCATCGCATTGGCTCCAGCAATTGTTTGCACACAGCTTTTGGTGCAAGAGAGAGAGTTTGCCCTGGGGAGTCTGTCCTACTTTCTGGGCCTTTTTTGTACATAAGGTTTTTTATTTTGTAGTTTTTCCTTCCTCCTGCTTGTAGATTTAGTGATATTAAGAAGACTCACGGTACTCAGCAAACATAGGAAGCTTTTTGCAGAAAGCCACTTCTTGAGCAAGAATCTCAGCTTTTGAATCTGTGAACTGCATGCACCCTGCCTGCTCATACGTTGTCAAACCCCTCCCAACTATTCTGCAGCTAACCTTACTGAAGCAGGGACACAGGCCTTGCATCTGCCAGCTTGGAAACCGCAGTCCCTTTCAGATGGAAGATGCAGGTAGAGAGCCAGACAGACCGGCCTCGCTGTTCTGGCTGGGCTGCAGGTTGGCATGGGGAACAGCAGCTCTTTTAACACAGCCTTGCACACTGTGCTGCACAGCGTGGCTTCAGGCTGTGAGCTTCATCAGCTTTGCAGGATAAATCCCATGCGCTCTCACCATGATCCTCTAATGAACTTTTCCCCTTCCTGCCTGATAAGTGCAACCCTGAGCTTACCAGACTGTTTTATGCAGTCTGTAAACAGTGCTGTTCTATAACACACAATTTCCTTACACTCCTTGCTTGGATCCATCTTAATCCTTATAGATGAGGAGCTCAGCAGGGCAGAGCCAGGCTTGGGCTCTGTGTTTGTAGCCTGTGCTGGAAGCTCCCTGTGGTCATAGAACCACAGAATCATATAATGACTTGGATTTGAAAGGACCTTAAAGGTCATCTAGTTCTAGCTTCCCTGTCATGGAAAAAGTTGCCACCCACCAGCTCAGACTGCCCAGGGCTTTATCCAACCTGGCCTTGGACACTTCTAGGGATGGGGCATCCACAGCTTCTCTGGGCAGCCTGTGCCAATGCCTCACCACCTTCTGAGTAAAAAATTTCTTCCCAATATCTAACTCAAATTTCCCCTCTTTTAGTTTGAAACTATTCTTCCTTATTCTATCAGTACCACACTTTGTAAAAAGTCTGTCTCCCCCTGTTTGTAAGCTCCCTTCAAGTACTGGAAGGCCACTGTGAGGTATCCCTGGAGCCTTCTCTTCTCCAGGCTAAACAAGCCCAACTCTCTCAATCTTTCTTCACAGGAGAGGTGCTGCAGCCCTCTGATCATCTTCGTGACCTCTGGACCTGCTCCAACAGCTTCACATCCTTCTTGTGCTGCAGGTCTCAGGCCTGAATGCAGTAGTCCAGATGGGACCTCATAAGGGCAGAGTAGAGGGGAGCAGTCACCTCCTTTGCACTGCTGGCCACTCCTCTTTTGATGCAGCTTAGGATACAGTAGGACTTCTGTACTGGACCAACACAGGCAAGACGTAACACCTTAATGGCAGCAAGTGCATAGATTTGCTGACTTGTTTCAAACTTTCCATCCACTAAAACACACAAGTCCTTTTTGGTCAGGGCTGCTCTCAGGAAGTTCTCCCAGTCTGCGCTCATATCTGGGATTGCCCCAACACAAGAACAACACCTTGCACATGACCTTGTTGAATATCATTAGATTCATTTGGGCCCACTTTTCCAGCTTGTCCAGGTCCCTTCCTTCTTGTACTAACTGCATCACTCAGCTTGGTGTCATCAACAAACTTTCTGAGGATGCACTCAATCCCACTATATCATTGATAAAGATGTTGAAGAACACTTGTCACTGGCCTCCACCTGGACATGCAGCTGTTGACCACTCTGGCTGCCCCCATCCAACCCGTTCCTTATCGGCTGAATGGTCCACTCTTCAAATCTGTATCTCTCCAATTTAGAAATAAGAATATGATGCATTCATATTAGAGAGATACAGAGCTCTTGTGCTCTCAGAAATGTTTTCTTAAAGAGCTGTCACCTCCGTTCCATTCTTTTGTACCTGACAGTTCCCAGGGGATTCCATCCAAGAGTTCCTTAAACAGACAGAAGTTGACTTTCCTGAAATTCAGAGTTCTGACTCTGCTCTTTGCCAGGCCTGTATTCCTCGAGATTATGAACTCAAACAGGGCATACTTCCAGACTGCTTCCAGCCTTAAGCTCTTTATGATCTCCTTTACACTGGTGAGCACCAGGTCCAGTGGTGCTCCAATATCTGGACCAGGAAGTTGTCCTCAAGAGATTCCAGGAGTCTCCAGGACTTGCTTGCAGCCCACTGAATTGTTTCCCCAGCACATATCTCATCCACCACCAGGATGAGAGCCTGTGAGTGCAGTACCTCTAGCAAGAAAAGCAAGAAAGACCTCATATCAACAAGCTTCCTTTGATCAGGCAGCCTGTAGTAAACTCCAACCACTAGATGTCCTTTATTGGCCTGTTCCCTAATTTTAACCCACCAGCTCTGGACCTGATGATGTCTGTTACTCAGAGGCAGCTCTTCACAACCTACTTCTCAATACAGAGAGGAACTCCCTCACTCCTTCTGCTCTGCCTATCCGTTCTGTAGCTGACTCAATCATGTATCCCTCAATCATAGTATTCCAGTTATGGGATTCATCCTACCATGGTTCTGTGATAGCAGTTAGTTCATAGTTTTCTAGTTGCACCACGGTTTCCATCTTCTCCTCTTATTTCCCACGCAGTGTAGAGGCATTTTAGCTGTGCTGCTGGCTGTGTTACCTTCTTGGAGGAGCCCTCACAAATCCCTTTGTGACAGATGTTTTTTTTCCCCTCTTCGTTCTAAAGTGACAAGTGTTCCCTGGCTCTTTTCTTTCACTCACCCCCTACCCCATCAATTGGAGTTTAAAGTTCTGCCGAGAACGTTCTTGCTCCTCCTGGTCAGTTGCATCCTATCCTGGCTTTTGTCATCCCCAATGGCTTGGGATAGAAGGGACCTCGAAGATCATCTAGTCCTCCAGGCTGTTAAGAGAAAACTTCACTCTCTCCATCTCTTAAGGGAGTCAGCACAGAGAAGGGTTGTGACATGGCCAAGGATGCACAGCGGCAGAAGGGAAACTAGGATTCGGAGCACCTTCAGTGCCAGCACCTCAGTCTATGTGAGGAAACTCTCATTCCTTTGTGTCTCTTTGCAGGAGGGAGGGACCTGGATGCCTTCCAGGAGCGTGAGGAGGGCCGGGCAGCTCTGGATGATAATGAAGAGGTGATGCGTGCCCTGCTGATCCATGAGAAGAAGACACCCTCTGCTTCCACAGTCACCGTTGGAGGTGCCGCTCCTCTCTCCGGTGCCAACGCCAGTGACTCCGAGAGCGAGACGAGCGAGTCAGAGGAAGAAACTCCTCCCCGTCCTCCTGCTGCAGCCACCATGGCGTACGGGCTGGAGGAGGAGGATGAGGAGGAAGAGTTTGAGGTGGTGGCAGAGGACCCCACCGTCACAGTGGCTGGGCGTCCGCACTCTTACAGCCAAGTGAGCCAGCGCCCTGAGCTGGTGGCCCAGATGACTCCGGAGGAAAAAGAGGTTTATATAGCCATGGGGCGACGCATGTTTGAGGATATGTTTGACTAACTGCTTCCTGCCACGACATTTTTTAAACAGTTTTTTATCCAGAGACTTCCTAGTAAAACAGAAGACTGAATCTTTCCTCACCCGTGCACAGGGACACTGGGCTTTGGAGCTGCTGATCTCAGGCATCTTGCCCACCAGGGAGGGGGAGCAGGAAGGCTCTATGTGCCAAACAGATAGGGGAGGATAAGTGAGGATGCTTGCGAGGTAAAAATCTACTTCAGGGTGCCCAGCACAGGCACTGGTTTAACCCTCTCTACAGCCGAGTAGCTGCCTCCCCCCAATTGCTTGGGTCTATTTTTGTTGCAGGTCCTTGTGAGCTCCATGTCCCTGCCCTCAGAGAACACAAGAGCTCCATGGCGTGGTCAGAGTGCTCTGCAAAGGGTGTGTGTAGAGGAGAGGAAAGTAGTGCTCTGCTTGGGCAGTACTTGTGGTTGATCTCCTGCCAGCAGCCGCTGGCCATGGTGCAGTCGTTGCTGAGCAGCCCCTGTTCTGAGTAGCAACCTGTTCCTTTCTTTGCTCCTCCTCTCTCCTTAGTCACCTCAGCACCTCAAGGTCAAGAGTAACTCAGAACACAGAGTGAAAGCCTTAGCAAGCACGCAGCCACTCTTTGTCAATGTAACAAAAGCCTTTCATGGATCTGAGCTGTCAGAGAGCTCTGGCTTACCAGGAGCTACCTTCATTTCCCAGCAGTGCTGCCTGGCACTTCTGCCCAGCTCTGTCTAGCCTCCAGGGCTCCAATGGCTCGCTGCAGGCAGGGCTGCTCTACCAGAGAAACAGCATCACTAGTTTGTATGTTCAGTTACACCCAGGTTGCATCGATTTAAGAGGAATCGTGCATATTTGTAATGTTTTCTCTACCAGCCGAAAGTGATGGTTTTCTTTTAAATTGTCGTTTTCTTATCCAGCAAGCAAAGTGATAAAAGAATTTTGTGTTTCAGAGGGTAGGAGCAGCATTGCATGCTGCTCAGTTTACATGGGCAATCTGACTTTGCTGTTCACTGAGACTGTAAATCTCTTTTACACTAATTCTGCTTTTTAGGTTCTGCTAACCCTGTAATGCCACCTTTATGGTTTTATTTTCAGCTTCTTGATATTTGAACTCCTTTTTTTAAAGTGTTTTAAAGTTGCTTTTAAGTCATTTTAAAGTGGAATAAATAAATGGAAACTTCTCCCCTTTGTTGTCTTGCCATGTTTGATTTGCCATGTGTCCTGTTGGAAATCTTCACTTACCATTTTGAGTTACTTGGTTCAAGAAAACAGCCCATTCGAGGCCCTCCTTTGGGACTGTTTTAAATCCCACATTATAGCTCTGCTCCTCATTGGTTCTTCAGTAGAGCTCCATGGATGCCTCCTGCTATCTTCCACACTTAGGGAAGGACACTTCATCAGAGCAGTGCTGTGTGGGCCCCTTTGACCAGTGCCTCAATTCTCTTCTCTTTTAGAGTTTTGCTATGGAGAGGCCTCACTGATATTTGTTCCCAGCTAAAATTATGCTCTTGCACAGGTGGATCTAATATCAAGCTTCTAGAATCAAGCTGATAAGTCAGACTCACAGAAAAAAAAGTTCTTTGCCAGTTCTGTCTCAAATCTAATCTGAATTCAAGGTTAATCCTGGAGAAAAGCAGGTCCTTTTGCAAAGAGCCAAGGCTAGAAACAGAACTAATCCTGAGGGCTATGCAGCTACTCATGCTCATAGCACACCAGTGGTTTTTAGTCTGAAAAATGAAGCTGCAGCAGGCTGGTGCAAGTGCAGGGATAGAGCTATTGGTCCGAAGGAAGGAAGGCACTGCAGCCTCCTCTGGCTGTTGGACCACATGAGCTATGTTCATGCTAATTGAATAATACAGAGTGATCCAGCTCTGAAGCCTTCCTGCGTGGCTGTTCTGCTAACCTCATTCAAACCATTCCTGTGTCTGCTCTTAGCCTGAAGCACATTTTATCTGATGAGTGTGCTCATCAGTTCAAGCTGGAAAATAAAACAGGTTCCTCAAGCTGCTTGTGCTCCTGACCCCGAAAGCCCTAACACCTGCACCTATCCCACTTATGTGAGAGCCTCCATCTGCTCCCACCGTGGGGCAGGGAGATTGGCATCTTCCCTGTCTCACAGCAGGTTGGTGAAGGTGCTGGCAAAAGTGAGGATTGCTGTCACTGTAGGAAAGCAGAAATCATAGAATCATATTTGGCCACCTGGGCACACTGCTGGCTCATGTTCAGTTGAGTGTTGACCAGCACCACAGATCTATTTCCTCTGCACAACTTTCCAGCCACTCTGCCCTAAGCCCATAGCAATGCATGGGGTTGTTGTGACCAAAGTGCACAAGTCAACACTTGGTCTCATCCCATGGCCTCAGCCCAGGGATTCAGCCTGTCCACATTCCTCTGTAGGGCCTTTCTACCCTCAGGCAGATCAGTACTTCCCCCTAACTTGGTGTCATCTGCAAACTTACTCAGGACACACTCAATTCTCTCATCCAGATAATCAAAAAAGATATCAAACAGGTTGGGCCTCAGTACTGACCAGTGGGGAGCACTACTTGTGACTGGGTACCAGCTGTATCTAACTCCATTAGCATCACTCTGTGGGCCTGGCCCTCCAGCCAGCTTTTACCCACCATAGAGTGTTCTGTCCAAGCCACAGGCTGCTTCTCCAGGAGAATGCCGTGGGAGAGGAGGGCTTTAGCTTTGCTGAAGTCTAGGTAGACTAATCCACAGCCTTTCCCTCATCCACCAGGTATGTCACCTGATCATAGAAGGAGATGAGGTCAGTCAGGCAGGAGCTGCCTTTCATGAACCCATGTTGGCTGGGCCCAATCCCCTGGTTGTCCCACATCTGTCCTGTGATCACACTCAAGACCTGTCCCTCTGTGCCACAGCCATACAACCCTTTAAACACCTCCAGAGATAGGGACTCTACCACTTCCCTGGGCAGCCCATTCCAAGAACTGATCACTGTTTCCATGAAGAAATTCTTGATGAGAGCCAACCTAAACCTCCCCTGGTGCAACTTGAGGCTTCTGCCCATGTTCTATCACTTGTCAGCCCCCTCACTGCACCCTCCTGGCAGGTAGCTGTGGAAAGCAATGAGGCCACTACTCAGACTCCTCCAGAATGAACAGCCCCAATTCCTTCAGCCACTTCTCACAGGCCTTGTTTTCCAGTCCCTTTGTCAAATATGTTGTTCATCTGTGCACATGCTCAAGCAACTCAAGCTCTTCTTGTAGTGAGGATCCCAAAAGTGAACTTGATGCTCCAAGCCCCAAAGCTCCCAAAAAGCAGCTTCCTCCACCAGAGCGTCTGCTGTGCTGTGCTGCTGCCTCCTTCCAACAGACCAACCAGGCTGCTGCTCCCAGGAGCTGAAGATCCCAGGGAGGAAGGGTGGAAAAGCAGCATCTCCTCTTCCTGGAGCCGTGGAAAGTGCCTGGCCTGAGGGTGCCTGCCATACAGAGCACTGGGGGGATGCTGAGGGGCCTGGGGGTACAAGAGCTCTGCTTGGCTCTCTGCCTCCTGCAGGGCCCCTTTGGAGGAGAGAATATTCCCATGGTAGTCAGACATAAAGTGAAGGTTGGAAGTTCTATGAGCAGGTGAAAGGCCACGAGGTCTCACAGTGGCGGGGCAAGCCCTCTGTGTGTCTGCAACAGTGAGTTGTGGAGGAACAGAACAGTCCCTGCCTGCAGCTGTGCACTGGCGTGAGCAAGCAGGGCTGTAGGCTCTGTCCCCTGGAAGAAGGAAGAGTCAAGCAGCGCTGCAGGAAGTCACCTGGGGCTGCTGTTGGACTGATGTGGCCATGTCCTCAGTGAGTCCCGGGCAGGACCTGTGTCCCTGGCTTGGTTGCTGTTTGGGATACCTAATGAGCTGCCAGCAGGTGGCTTCTTATTTAGCATCATTAATTAGGCTAAGAGAGAGAGTGAACTTAATTTATGGCTAAACAACAATCAGATTTTGGAAGCTCCTGCTGCATCATTAGGATCGTATTAAAGACAGCAAGTGTTCCTGCAGCAGCCATCCTGGCAGCAGCGGAGAGTCTCTAAACAAGGTGCTTTAAATATAATACGTAGTTTTGCTTCAAACACATTCCTGACCTAAATATAATTTGATTTCCATCCCTTTGAACGCTGATGCTGAAGTGGCAGCAGGGCTGGGCTGGCTGCAGCACAGGCTGCAGCTCAGCTCCACTGCTGCGCACTGGGGCTGGTGCCCGCTGCCTGCACATAGCCAGAGATGTGCAGACCCTGCTGGGTATTGGGGTCCAGCCCTGAAATCAGGCAGTGCTGAGCAGGAATGTGGGAGTGCAGAGATGTGCATTTGGCAGAGAGGAAAAGGGAGTGAGGCATACTGGTGTGGCTAAAGCTGCTTCTTTGTGTTTTTCACCTAGAATCCATTGCTAGTCCCTTCCACGCCATTGCTTGCTGAGAGGAGGATGAGCAGTGGTGATTTTGCAGTGGGCTAAAGCTGTGAGCAGCGTGAGGATCTGGCTCAGGTGCACCCGGTAAGCCGATCCTCCTGTTCTGAAATGCTTTTGTTGTGCTTCTGACCATGGCAACCTGCCTCTCCAGAGTTGGCAGACGCTGCTGCAGGGGCAGTGCTTTTCCTATGTCCTTCAACACTGCCGGGAGGGGGAGGAGGAATGTGCCAGCACCATGGAATGGTGGCCAGCAGCTGACTTGGGTCTGGTTGGGCTGCAGCATCCAAACCAACCTTTCCTGTACAGGAGAATGACAGCATAGGTCATTCTGATTGTTTTATCACCAGCATCAGCTCCAGGCTGGTCAGCCCCCAGCACTTAGGCTTTCCTGCTTCTTGATCTAGATGTGATTTGGTATGACTGAATTTTATCTGTTTTTTTTTTCTCTTTCCCCTTATTCTTTTCCTCCCTTTGAAATATTTTGAGTTACTGAATTTCTCACAATGTTTCCTTGCTGCTTCTAACAATTTTTTATTTTTTTTTTTAAATGCAAATCAAGCTGTAAAATCTTTCTGGGGAAATGTGTCTGCTCTCCCTGCTCTGTCACCATCATTATTCTTCCTTTCTGAGCAACACTTCCTTCCAAGGGGATGTACTTTGAACATCTCCCAAACCTCCTAGTGATGTCAGGAGATGAAAGCTATCCCCATTACAACAGGGGAAACTGGAGAGAGCCGAGGTTGGAGGGAAACACGGCCTTCAGAAAGTGATGCATCTTAGAGACATTTCCCTTCCACACACTCTCCCAGGCCACATGGGTGCCATACAGAAGCGAAGAAAAACACAATATGCTGAGGAGGGCTGTGGCTCTCCATCCACTTAGTCTGGCATATTCCCCTGTCTCTGAGCAGCCCATTAAGAGGGGTAATGTGCTCTGAGCTCATCTGAATAGACCTGCCTCTGCTTTTCACCAAGCTGGAAACCTTATTGCAAGAACACCAGGCAGCAGCAAGCTGCAAAAAGGGGTCAACTCCACATGAAAAACACTTCTTCGTTAGGGTGTTTCCTCTGAGTGTGGTGTCATGTAGGTGTGTATGAAACAGGTGCAGGAAGTTCTTCAGGGAGCTTGCCAGCTCTGCTGGAGCACATCTGCATTTGGGATGCTGACAGATGGGGTGTTTTGTGCAGCTGAGGGAGGAGCTGCTGCCAGAGCAGCAAATGGAAGCTGGAATTGGTGTTTGTTACATCACTGGAATCCATCTGAAATGCAGAGTAAAAGAGCTTATCCTCATAAATGACAGACCTGGCAAACTGTGTGGACTTCTTCCATGAAGACAGGTGTTAAAACACTCTCATCTCCATCCCTTCCTGTTTTATTGTTTTTTGACTCTATTATTTGCTGCTCACGTAGTAGAGCCTCATGAAGGCACTGAATGTCTGGGTGCTGCCGTGAACTGAACACCTCTGGCTTAGTCACTAATGGGCTCTGTGTGGGACTGCTAATTTACCAGCTAAGGGCGTCTGCCCCAGGAAAGGTGTGAGTCAAGCCATTAGAAATACTGAAAACAAAGCAAATAAACACTGTGCCTGGAAGCGTGTTTCTTGAGGTGCTCAGAAGCACTGCTCAGGAGATGGCACTGAAAGAGCAGCTCCCAGCAGTACAGGGTGTGCAGCTCATGGATGTGGAGAGAGCAAAGAGGTACCAGAAGAGCCATAACCGGGGCACTCATATGCCTCATCACAGCCCAGCCTCCAGCAGGCCTGCAG